AGCCTATGGGTGAGACTTCCGGTTCATTAGCCGCTATAGGGAAATAACGAGAAGAATAACAACGTGCAGTAAACAGTAAAACTGTTTGCACTACAAACCAGTGTATTCATAATTAAGATAACACATTAAAATTAGAGCCCGACCGATATATATCGTTTTGCCGATTGTATCGGCCGATATTAGCCCGTCGCAGATATATTGGTATCGGCGAATATGCCGCCAATATGAACATTTTTTTACAGAACATAAAACGCAGATAAAATGCTTGTAAATGATGTAATTATGTAGTTTTTCCAGCAGAGCGCGCTCCATTGTTTGCTACTGGCAACCTGGATGAAACGTTTTCAAGCTTAAGTGTATGGAACACCACTGAAAATTTGAACGGCCAAATCTCTGTAATAGCGCGGCAGATCCGCACCAAATTCGGGGGATCCCTTCAGTTCGAGGAACCCTCTCGAACGCAGAATCGAGTGTACGCCTCGAGGTCCCATTTCGAATGAGACCACCCCTGCATCAATAGCCAGGGGGTCCGGGAGATACAGGCGGTTAAATTCGCGGTCGTGCGCCGACCGATCTGGCGATCCCGGGAGGCTACCGACGCGCGGAGGGTGGCGTTTGAGAGGGCTCCTCGAGCTGAAGGAATCCCCTGAATTTGGTGGAGATCGGCCGCCGTGTTCGTGAGATAGTGACACCAGCCAACACTTTCACTTCAGTAAGGAGGTCTCTTGTTCAGGCAGCAGCATTCAAGCATTGTCTTATTCGACAGTAAGTGCCCTGCGAAGTGGACTTCACATGATATTCCGCTATGATTCCAGTTCCACGGGAACATACACGTTACATTCAAAGGGAATTAAAGTGCACAAGACGTTAATTAAAATTTTATTTATTTACAGAGGTATATTATGTCACACTTCACACTTCTCTAGTAAGTTTCGTCTGTGTGTGAAGACAGTAGCGCAAATCCGTGAATAAATGTTCCGAAGTGAAATAAACTTCAATTGAA